TTACAAGATATTTTGTAACACTGGAGGAGCGTTGTGACAAAGCAAACCTGCATGGGACTTAAAATATACCATATAAAATTAGACAAATTAGAAAAATGGGGAATAGCTGAAGTGTTCAATAAAAGAATATTTTTAAGAAAAAATATATTCACTCTGGATTCATTTTAGATTTTGTCTTTCTATATACACTACTTAAAAACTAATCATGAGTCTTCAGAGCTAATTTTAAAAGAACAACATGGTATAATGTACAGATTCTAAGAAACCATTACAGCATTGACAGCAAATCTATTTTGTACTCATAATTACACCAAACTTTTCTTGGAATCCAAGTAAACAGCCACTACTCTGTTGTTACCATTTTGATTTTCTAAATAACTAACACCTTATTTCCTTAAGTACTGGCACTTTCTCAATTATTTCTTTAAAATTTAATTTATATTTGTTCGTTGTTTTATCTAAGAGGGAGAAGAAGGGCCCAGGGTTGATGGGGGGGAGGGGGAGGTAGAGAGAGAGATCCTGCATAAGATGCTTCTCTGCCCAGTGGCTTCCAGATACATACTTGGCTTCAGCCCGGTTGTCCATGTGGGTGCCAGGGATCCCAAGCACTTGAAGCATTGTCCCCTGCATCCCAGGATCTGAATTACCAGGAAGTTGGATGCAAAGCAGAGTAGGGACTAGAACTAGAGTGACTTAAACGCTATGCCAAAGGCCCACCCCCAATTATTTCTTTTCAGTTACTAGGTTTTTGTATAGTATCTCAGCATTTATATTTCTTAGGCTTACCTAGGTTTTCCTGCTCATATCTAGATCTATTGTGCCTTTAGTACAGCTGAACGGTGGAATTTAAAATGTGGTGTTTTTCATTCAGCTTCTTTAGTGCTATATCTTGTCTTGCCAAGATTTTATGTTTTGTTTGGTTTTACTTAATCAGAATTTTAAAATGAACTCAGAATGTGCATTTCAAATCTTTCTGCATTGTTTTTCCATTAACTATCCAGACTTACCATGTATCTTGAAGCTCTCTCTTCTCCGTTTACAGTTTAATATCTCCAAACCAAATCAACCTTCACCTCTCACCTTGTCTTTAGTAACTCCAAATTGATCAGTCCACCTGCAGCATTCTTCACAAAATGCGCAGTTTTCTGAAACCCTAAGTTTAATTAGGTGACTCTGTAGTTAAAACCTGTCTTTATTACCTTCCCATCGTTCATGGGATAAAAATTGAAGCGTGAGTATGACCTATAGAGACCTATATGATCTGGCCTTTGCTTGCTGTCTTGCTTCATTTATCACCATTCTCTTCTTGGATCAATCAGCTCTAGCCAACCTACCTATCCTTGTAATAGAAATCAACAAGTTCTTCATGCTTTAAATCCTTCAACTTCTCTCAATCCTGAAAGTTCTATTTGATTATGTAATCTATACATTTCCAATTTCTAGTCCAGTTTAGCACCTTTTAAGTTTAGTGTGAGCAGGATTTTACTTTTCTCATCCCCATTAATTCATATACTACTGTAATGTCATGCATCCACTGGATATACAATTCTTAAGTGCTGAGTAACTGACATGTTGAAGGAACTGCCACCACCACTGGTACTTAGTATTGTCCACCTGGTCATTACGTGAGTGGTTCTGCTTGACTCTAGTCTTATATCATATCCTAATCTATCCTTTATACTGCCCCTGTCATGATCTTTTTAACAATGAATGATTCAAATGTCACCACCTTATTCAGAGGTTAAAAGTACAGCAGACTATCTATGGCCTCTCATGCCTTGGTCTCTCTTTAGATTGCCTGACTTCCAGCAATATAGAATGATAGAGAGATCAAACAAAACAAAACACTAGAAAATATTCAGAGTCTCTACTGCTAATTTCTTGATTCAAATACTGAGTTCTGAGTGACTTTTGTTGTGTTGACTTAATTAATATATGAGGCAAAGAATTGAAAGCAACCAGCAAAGCTGGTTGGATTTAATATGGGAAGAGCAGAAAGTTGGCCTCCAATCAAGATGGCTCCAGGAGTACACTTTTGTAATCTTTCTGTGCCAACTATGTAGCTATGATGGATAAAATATAAAAACAGAAAACCAAAGAGCCACAGTTGGATTCAAAAGAGATATATCTGTACTCCAGTAGTGAAATAGAAATACAATGATATTGGCTGAAACCCTTAGCTACTTTAGCTCTCCTGTGAGCTAAAAAAGGCTAAAATACACCATGAATAAAGCTTTAAGCCAGAAGCTAAGCTATGACTTTCTCAGTTCCCATTAAAAGGCATTGAAAGGATATCAGTACCTTGCTACTCCAAATAAAATTGAGGTCATGTTATTAAGAGAGAAGAAGAAATGGATATTAAACACAAAGATACTTTAAAATTTTCACAAAAAATGGAATTAGAAAGGTTTTTTGGTGCAAAAAAATTGAAATCCCTGCAGTTTTCTTGTACATTTTCCATGAACTTTTTGAAGACCCCTTATATGCATGGATTTCAAATTGATTGCACCAAAATAAATATATAGTCATATATATGTTATTTATGTATGTATTTATTTATTTATTTGAAAGCCAGAGAGAGAGAAGTATCATCTGTCCGATGGTTCACTCCCCAGATGTCCACAATAGCTAGGAGTGGCTATGCTAAACCCAGGAACCCATAACTTCCATGTGGGTGGGCACCCAAGCACTTGAGCCATTATCTGCTGCTTCCCAGGTGCATTGCTGGAAGCTGGATCAGAAGCAGAATAGCTGTACTCAAATGTGGGTGTCCAAAGTGGCAGCTTACCCTGGTGTACCACAATGCTCACCCCTAATCCTGGCTTTTAATTTCATTTTCCATAAGCTTTTTGAAGTGCCCACATATGTGACTGTGTTAACCATAATTGTGATACCTACTCCAGGTTTTTTAAACCACTTGCAAATAGCAGCTGACAAGAGGCCAATATGCAGCTGAAACAAGGTGTACTGGGGATTTCTGCTCAAGCACGAGAGAGGCACGATTCCTTCTTTTTGTTCATGGCATATTCAGAATGGCGGTGTGGCTCACTATTGCCACCCTAGGAAGGTCACAGATTGGTCACATTGGGCTGTTCTGGGCGTATGTACAGGTTAGGCAAGTCTCTAAATGGCAGTAGGGCATCTTTTTTGGTTAGAGTCTGGATGTTCCTTGTCCTGATTGGTTTGGAACTGGGGATTAAGACATATCAGATTGGGAAATGGACACTTCAGGTCAAGAAGGGCTTGATTTTAGTAGTGCTGTTTCTATATTGTCTCAATTGGAAATAAATTTGTTTTACTTCAGAACCTAGAAACAAAGCAAAGAAAAAGAAAGGAGACAAAGCCTTAAGAAGCAGAAGAAAGAGTAACAAACATAAGAGTAGAAATGAATGAAATAAAAAGCAATGAAACAATAAAATCAAAACCAAAACATTCTTTGAAAACAGCCTGGTAAATTTGTATCCTAGCAAAGCTATTTAGGAAAGGAATAAAAAATAAGATTAGAGGAGGGACAAATTTACAAGGCTTAAAAGATCTGAAACAACTGAAACACTTGAGATTTTTAATCCTGGAGAGTACTATAAGTAACTTTATGCTAATAAATTTGAAAACTTAAATGAGGTAGATAGTTTTTTTAAAATGATCAGCTTCCAGAAATGACTCAAGAAGTGGAAAGCCAAATTAAATAAGAAGCTATTAATGAAAAAGAATTGTTAATAAAAATATTTCTTCCTGCATTTTACTATTTCTACCCCCATCCCTTCACCCCTGACTCCAGGTGTCCTGAGATACAGACTCTGAATATTTTAGAAGAGAGTTTTTTCAGACTTTAAGAATCCTTGAACTGGTTTCAGTGAATTGGGAGTGGGGCACAGGGATTAGGCGAGAGGGCACACTAGGTTGACACCAAGACCCAACAAGTATAATACAAGTACAGGAAAGGGAAATTGTAAGCCAATCTCACTTATGGATATAGATGTAAAAAATTCTGTTAGCAAATGTGATTTACAGTCTATCTACCTCTCACCATCCATTTACCCAAATGTATTAGCATAGTTCAAGTCCAGAAAATATATTAATGTGTAATTTCAGGTAATATTTCATATAATAATCAGGTATGATTATATGATGGATATCAAACATTTGATACAGTCAGAATATGGGTAACCTCTGCAGTAGTAGGGCGGGACAATAAGGCACGACCATCTATAATGGGCTTTAGTTACTTCAGAACTGAAAGTTGTGTCTGTGAGTGTATGTGTAGCTTATTAGATTGACTCACATGATCACAGAGGCTTCAGATTTCCACAATGGCTCTCTACAAACTGGAGAACCAAGGAATCCAGTAAAGGTTCAGTCCAGGAAGCCAGAAGCCTTAAAATGAGAGGGGCCGATGATATAGCCCCCCAGTAGGAGGCAGAGGGCCTGAGAAGCTGGTGAAAATCCAGCTTCTGCTGGTGAAATCCCAGAATTCAAGGCCCTGAGAACCTAGAATATGATATCCAAGTCAGTGATAACCAAAAATACACCCACTCCAGAAGGGAAGGGGGGTGGGGGGAAAGGGAGAGAGAGAGACAGAAAGAGAAACAAGATTTCTCTTCTTTCCTTCTTTCCTGTTGTATATAGGTCTCCAGCCAGTTGGATGGTACCCACCCACATTGATGTTGGGTCTTCTGTACTCATGGCTGACCCAGCTGCCAATCTCTACAGACAGCGTCACAGACACATACAGAAAAAATGATTTACTAATTCTCTGGGCATCCCTCAACCTGGTCAAGTTGACACTCAAAAGCAACCATCACAACTGTGATCTGTTTTGAGTTGATTTTCAGAATGGTGGTGTAGGGGTCCAAGTTCATTCTTTTACATGTGAGTGAGTGGCTGTCAGCGCAGTGCATTGAAAAGATTCTCTACTGGATGCACAGTCTGGAATGTTTTTCTGATTATGCCTTTTTTGTATTGATTTTTTTAAACTTCTCTTTCTATATTTTGGTTTTTAGGTTGTTTATCAAGTATGCCCCAAATGAAAAAAATTTCCACATCTTATGAAGAAAGACGCAAGCAAGCTACTGCTATCGTTTTGCTAGGAGTAATAGGAGCTGAATTTGGTGCTGAAATTGAACCTCCAAAACTGTTGACCAGACCTCGAAGCTCTAGTCAGATTCCTGAAGGATTTGGTTTGACCAGTGGTGGATCCAACTACTCCCTGGCCAGACATACTTGTAAGTTTTTAGGTTACAAATGCTATCTATTCCTTTCAGTACATATTACTTGTCAGTGAAGTCTCAGAATGTTGAATATATCCTGAGTTTTTGTTCATCTGGATTGCTTGAATGAAATAAGAAAGCAGTTTTGATATGTTTGGCACATTGCTGTGTGGTTAATTACCTGAGTAATTTTTAAAAGTGAAAACATGGTCTCTTAAATGCTTTTTTATAATAACATATTGCTGAGCTTTATGTTTTTGCATTTTTAATTAAGATTATTGCCAAAATCTATGAAAACCAGCTTAAAGTTAACATTTCTATCTTCTCAAATAATTTCTGAGAAACTATACAGCTTGTCCTGAGTGTGGTTTGGTAAGTCACCCATAGGGTGGAACACCAAGCTTTTTATTTTTATAAAGGATTTATTCATTTGTTTGAAAGGCAAAGTGAGAGAGATCTACTAGTTTACTTCCCAGTTACCTGCAGCAGCCAGGACTGGGCCAGGCTAAAGCCAGAACTCTATAAGGATCTCCCACATAATGACAGGGACCCACATCCTTGGGCTGTTGCCTTCCCAGGCACATTAGCAGGAAGCTGGATCAGAAGCAGAGCAGGACTTGAACCATACTCCAAAATGGGAGTTTGTTGCCTCCCAAGCAACAGCTTAACCTACTTAACCTGCTTTGCCACAATGCCTGCCCCATGTAGTGCATATCATTTTGGGATGTGGTCTTTAAGCAAGGGAAAAAGTTATACATTACTTTGTTAGCTATGACAGCAAAGAACTTCTTTGGACCATTGTCTCATTCTTTGGCTGTAAAACCCTGGCGCTATACTAGTGCTTCTACTTTGAAAACTTTTCAGTAGATTTAGCTGCCCCTTTTGTATGTTTTCTTTTAAAACTTACTCAGTGAATGCTTATTAGTAATAATCTCGTGATCTCTAAATATTGAGCCTCAGAGAGCAGTAAAAACAATATCACCACCAATACCAATAAAGCAACTAAATTGAGCATTATTTTTAAGTTCTTTACATGCATCCGGTTACTTAATCCTCATACCAATCCTGTGATGTGGGTATCTCTCTTGATTCCATTTTAGGCTGCTGGGGCACAGAGAGGTTTTTATGTTGGCCGAGCCCATACCTCCAGGAAGGGGCAGGCTTTGTCTCAGTCTAGTCTGTTGATTCCAGGCTTATGCTTCTGACAATTCTGCAGATGTTGACAATTCAGCTCTCAGTTGGAAAAGGCTCCATTGCTGTTACTTTCTTTTCTTTTCTGTTCTCTAATTTAAATAGACGTAAGACTTCCTCAAGGTGACTGGGTCAAAAGGTGGTAAAGCCTGGTGAAGCTTCCTGTGACCTGAAAACCCCGGCCCTTTGTATTCATGCGCTTTCCTCCTCATACAGGAGGCTGTGCACTGCAGACCCCAGCCCCTCGGCTCTTTACTCTGCTTATCTTCTTTTTAGTTCTTCACATTCCTGCTTTCCATTCGTAAAACCCTGTTTTCCTACTCATTGTCTATACCAGGGGCTCTTTAATTAGGTCTGTGTCATTGACACCAACTCATGACTTCCGTGTGCAGTTCCTTAGAATGTTGGTATTGGAGTATTAGAAACTAATGAGGGCTGGCGCCGCAGCTCACTAGGCTAATCCTCCGTCTTGTGGCGCCGGCACACCGGGTTCTAGTCCCAGTCGGGGTGCCGGATTCTGTCCCTGTTGCCCCTCTTCCAGGCCAGCTCTCTGCTGTGGCCCGGGAGTGCAGTGGAGGATGGCCCAAGTGCTTGGGCCCTGCACCCCATGGGAGACCAGGATAAGTACCTGGCTCCTGCCATCGGATCAGCGCGGTGCGCCGGCCACAGTGCTCCAGCCGCGGCGGCCATTGGAGGGTGAACCAAGGGCAAAGGAAGACCTTTCTCTCTGTCTCTCTCTCTCTCACTGTCCACTCTGCCTGCAAAAAAAAAAAAAAAAAAAAGAAACTAATGAAACTTTGACATAAGATAGTCTGGCTTCCCAACTTTTTGAACACTGTCTCCCTAAAACTAACAAGAAATGTCTAATCCTTTGCACGTCTTTTTGTTGACAGCCAAAACTTTTAAGTTAAGTTTAAACATTAACAGAAGATACCATTTTGAGGATTTTATAAATATTGACACTTAAAAGCACAAATATTGCTCTTTTTAATACATTACATTCAGTAGAATATTTACCTTATCTATTTGATATTCATCATCATCCATATAAAAGAATACAGGAACAAACTTTCCTTTAAAAAAAAAAGTCAGGAATCTTACTTCCTTGATTACTTTCCACAAAGAGAGAAAACTTCTACCCTCAGCGTTTTAGGGAGGGAGTTCATTTGTGAATTTATCATCAAGAAATCAATTCCTTTTTATTACCTATATCTTAAAACTGTTTGTGTTTTTAAAATTATTCTTTGAAAAGTTCTAGAATCTTCCTATTTGAAGGGGTTTACCTATTTGGAAGACCATTGATTTAGTCCAACATGTTTTATATGATTCCACAACAATTGTTTGTTTTTGATATTTTCCTGTAAGGAACCTCAGCATAAATGCTGTTTCCTTTGGAATTTTCCCATAGATCAGTGTGGATTTTTGTGTGTAAATGTTGGAACATCAGCTAATGAGTTGCTGATTGATTCCACCCATGGCACTGACTGGTTTGCTAGGTAAGTTGGTTTATACCACATTATCCTAGTTATCTAGGCTAGAACCGTTTTTTGTTTTAAGATTTATTTTATTTATTTTCAAAGGCAGAGTTACAGAGAGAGACAGGGAGAGACAGAGAGGTCTTCCATGTGCTAGTTCACTTCCTAGAGAGCTGGGCCAGACCGAAGCCAGGAGCCCTGCACTTTCTCCAGCTCTCCTATGTGGGTGCAGGGGCCCAAGCACTTGGGCCATCCTCTGCTGCTTTCCCGGGAACATTATCAGGGAGCTGTATCAGAAGTGGATCAGCTAGGACTGGAACTGGTGCCCATAACTATTTTATTTGCAAATTGTTACTATTTTAACTAGAAAAACAGAAAGGAATTAGGAGAAGGGATGAAGTTAAAAAGCTGGGACAGAATAAAAAAAGATTTTTCAAAGAAGTCCTGGAAATTGATAAAAGATTTGAGGAGCATCTTAGTGCTATTCTTGTGGTTTGTCAAAAGTCAGGGAGCTGAACTACATGTAAAGGAGTCCCCAAGCATGTAACTGGCAGGAGGGAACCCCTTGGCAGAACTGTTATGAGGAGGAACATTTGCATGGTACCTCCTTTCCTAAGCAAGGTAAATGAATTTACACAAACTTTTTCTTTTTTTTTAACTTTGATTTAATGAATATAAATTTCCAAAGTACAGCTTATAGATTACAATGGCTTCCCCCCATAACATCCCTCCCACCCGCAACCCTCCCCTTTCCCACTCCCTCTCCCCTTCCATTCACATCAAGATTCATTTTCGATTCTCTTTATATACAGAAGATCAGTTTAGCACACATTAAGTAAAGATTTCAACAGTTTGCTCCCACACAGAAACATAAAGTGAAAAATACTGTTTGAGTACTAGTTATAGCATTAATCTCAATGTACAACACACTAAGGACAAAGATCCTACATGAGGAGTAAGTGCACAGTGACTCCTGTTGTTGACTTTACAAATTGACACTCTTGTTTATGGCATCAGTAATCACCCTAGGCTCTTGTCATGAGCTGCCAAGCCTACAGAAGCCCCCTGAGTTCACCGACTCTGATCATATTTAGACAAGGTCATAGTCAAAGTGGAAGTTCTCTCCTCCCTTCAGAGAAAGGTACCTCCTTCTTTGATGGCTCATTCTTTCTGCTGGGATCTCACTCGCGGAGATCTTTCATTTAGGTTTTTTTTTTTCCCCCAGAGTGTCTTGGCTTTCCATGCCTGAAATACTCTCATGGGCTTTTCAGCCAGATCCGCCTGCCTTAAGGGCCGATTATGAGGCCAGAGTGCTGTTTAGGACATCTGCCATTCTATGGGTCTGCTGTGTATTTCACTTCCCATGTTGGATTGTTCTCTCCCTTTTTTATTCTATCAGCTAGTATTTGCAGACACTATTTTTGTTTATGTGCTCCTTTTGGTTCTTAGTCCTATCATTATGATCAATTGTGAACAGAAATTGATCACTGGGACTAGTGAGATGGCATTGGTACATGCCACCTTGATGGGATTGAATTGGAATCCCCTGATATGTTTCTAACTCTACCATTTGAGGTAAGTCAGCTTGAGCATGTCCCGAATTGCACATCTCTTCCCTCTCTTATTCCCACTCTTATATTTAACAGCGATCACTTTTCAGTTAAGTTTCAGCACTTAAGAAGAATTGTGTATTGATTACAGTATTCAACCAAAAATATTAAGTAGAACAAACAAAAAAAAATACTAAGAGGGATAACATATTAAGTTGCTCATCAGCAGTCAGGGTGAGGGCTGATCAAGTCACTGTTTCTCATAGTGTTCATTTCACTTTAACAGGTTTGCTTTTTGGTGCTCAGTTAGTTGTCACCTATCAGGGAGAACAAGTGGTATTTGTCCCTTTGGGATTGGCTTATTTCACTCAGCATAATGTTTTCCAAATTCCTAACAGGGATCACTTTTCAGTTAAAATTTAAACACCTAAGAATAATTGTGTGTTAATTACAGAGTTCAACCAATGGTACTAGAACAAATATAAAATACTAAAATGGATAAAGTATTACGAGCAAGAACTGTTATAGGAAGGGTAAAAGGTAATGCTTTCCAACGAATTATCTTTATGCCTATTTGAAACAAGAGATAGAGATTCTGAGAGGTTTGCAGCAAGCAAGGAAGAATATATCAAAATGAATGATATAATACTTATTAGAACCAATTTAAAACGTGAAAAAGTCCTTGATTTTTTCCCTTTTTTACACTTTCCCTGTTGCTTTTAACTTCCTTCCCATTACTCTGTTTTTCCTTCAAAGTTTATTAAGTTCATTCATTGGTGGTAATTTGCCTACAAATGTA